GTGCGCAATACTCACAAGGAGATGCATTTGATACATTTGAAGATGTTGGTGTGCTTGAAGTCGCTAATTTATCTCTAGACGAACCGGAATTGGAGGCGATAGTATTTGTGGATGAAGATGAAGATGTTGAAGAGATTCAAGATGAATGATGTAATTAATTTCGTTTTTACTTTTTGAACTTATGTTATTAAGAAACATTTATGAATTTAATGTCAAGTTTGATTTCTATTTATCATTATATATATGATTCAATAAGTATAAAAATTATTACTTTAGAATATAAAATTAAAATAACATAAAAAAAAATTGTAATTAACGTGTCGGCAACGTATCGTGTCAGAACTTTTTTTAAAAATCGTGTGTCGGCGTGTCCGACACGTATCGTGTCGGACACTCGTGTCCGTGTCGGTGCTTCTTAGGAAATACATTACAATACTCATATATAGAGATTAACCTAGAATAATGGGTGCTAATCTGGTTCAGACTTATGGTGAGTCGGACTCTGATTATAATTTAGATCAGATATGCACTCCATATTGTAATATATTTCTCAATATATTTCAACAAAAATATTTCACGTTCATTTAAAAATACGATTATATTTAACGATATCAGAGATAACAGCATGGAAGTAAATTATGTCTCCTTTTTGAACTTTTTGATAGTATTGCATAGGCACAATTGACAGAATGCATATTAAAACTGCATTGCTATGCGAACAAAGACTATTTTATTGGATGTAAAGGAATCCATAGACAGAATGTGCTAGCTTCTTGTGACTTCAACTTATGTTTCATATTTGTATTGTCAGGTACTACCATTAATGCACGTGACACTTGCATCGTAACTCATGCACGAAGAAGATGAAATGACAACTGAGATGAATGTACCTGAAATGTAGCGCTCTTCGTAGGATCGACTACGCGAATAAATGGCTCAACACCAGTGAAAAAAATTTATATGTTGGCTATATAATTCAACCATGTATAGGGTCATCGTCTTTTTTCCTTGATAACCAAACAGTATAAACAAAATTTAAAATTCTACTCCACATAAATAATATTGAATGTTTCTACTGATTACGACTTGGAAATATTACTTCCAACATTTTTTGAGGTTAAGGTTTTTTTACGTTAACATAACTTGCGCTTGTTGTTTAGCGTGAACGGCATCCACAAAGAGAGACAATTTTTTTACATCAACTTCAAAAAATTCAAGATTATGAGTCAAATGCAAATGCAGATTTCAAGGAATAAAATTGTTTAGAGAAGAAGGGCGAAATGGAGTTTTCACGTTTAGCCATTATTGTTAACTGATTCTTTCTTTCCTTGGTGCAAGCATACTTTACCATTGAAGTAATCAGTATGGGTAAGTAATCAGTATGGGTCCACATGATTGGACCCAAAAAATTTATTTTTTCACAAAAATAACGCGCCCATACTAGTGTTAAATACAGAAAAAGAGATGACTCATAAGCACCGATTATATGATACATCAATTATTTGATGAATAAATTCATGGTAGGAACATGAATTAAATCCACCAATTAATTGATTTGTCATGTCAGGTGCTTAGCTTAGGGGATCATCTCTCTCTATATATCTTGATCTCCTAAGCACCAATGACA